AGGAACAACAGAAGCTGTGAAACCCTGACCTCCAAACCTGGCTCAAACATCAACTTGCTCTGGAGCTTATGCAAGATACGTACACATTTTCCCACTGAGAAAGTATTGATAATTACAGGCACTCTGACTGCATCCTGATTTTATTGAGGCTTAGTTAATTGTGCAGGCATTGCCCTGAAATATGAGACAAATTGAGAGAGAGATCCAAAAGTGCATGGAGGTTCCCCTGTCTAGATGAGAGATCCACAAAATCCTCTTTGAACATTTGGTGCTCCTGAGAGTCTGTAATTATTGCCAGTTTTTGCCTAAAGATATGCTCAAAGGCCCCACCATCTTGGTTAGATTACTGATGTCAGCATCTTATATACAGGCAATTGCATTTGGGATTCACAAAGACGACGGAGCCACAACACAGTTCCTTAAGGGAGGCTCTGAGCAAACCTAATACAGACAGACAACACTGCATTCATTACAAATCACAGCACACCAGCCACTTACATCAACAGCAAAGCCAGAGGAAGAGTGCTTTTACATCACAGCATACAGCAGGAGGTTTTGCTTATCTGAGCTTCCAAATTGTTACCTCCACACAAGCAGTTAGCACTAGTCAGATGATAGATTGGGGCTAGACAGGTGGGAGAAAAACACTAGGTAGATGCAAGGGCAGGTTGTGAGATGGAGGAAATGGATGGGGAATGAGGTGAAAATTTCATTGCGGTGGTATGTGGTAGGAAGGCAGTGGGGACACCGTTTGAAAAGCACTGGGAGGTTTTGGGGTACAACGGGAAGGTGGCTAAGAAGTGAATGGAGGCATACTGGGGATATTCACAGGCTTACAACCAACCAATATTCTCTGCAACTGCCGTGAGTGCCCAAGCAAGTCATTGCTAATGGTACTCACGGCCACTGATGCTCCTGCCAACTGCATCTAGAAAAAATACGTTTGGAAAGACCAAGCCCAGTGATTACAGCAGTCAGCAGAAACTAGGGGACTGACTGCACTTCCTCCTCAGCCCGAGGGAATGCAAACTCATGGCTTTCGGCACCAAGGTAAGTGCCTGAGACGCGTAGCTATGTCCTAATGAAACTGGGCTGCCATGCAAAGGAGATGGCTAGACTGATGGGGCTGGGAGCAGGCCTGTTCCTGGTGAGGATACCTAGAAGCCCAGAGTCCTGGCCTAGATCCTCGCTCCGAGCACTTTGAGGGTCTATGAACTTCACCTGGCAGGACAGCGATTCCAAGCGCATAAACACCACGAAGGGCTGGAAGCAGAACAAGGAGCTTCCCCACCCTGGTGAGGCCCCTTTTCTCTTACTCATAGGCAAGGCCTTGCATCACCTTTCTCTACTGTGTCTCACCTCCAAGAGGAGAGTCGCACGGTCTCTTGCAGTGCAGACGGAACATTTCAGAAGTTGGAAAAATACACTTTATTTTTACATTGTTTGCAGTGAGAAAGTAGAGCTATACACTGGACTGCACTGAAGCACTCCTTTTCAGTGATATATATTATAGGAGGGATTCTTGATTCCACAGTAATCCCAGGAGAAAAATTAACTAGATGAGCACAGAATCGCACTAGTTCTGCTCTGGCCTCCTAAGTGTTTTTCAACTCAACAAATTAAGTTAAAGATAAGCATTTGCTTCACATGCAAGACTGTCATTCCTGCTTCATTTGTAATATATGGAGATGGATTAGCCACATCAAGCATATGTTTTCATACTGTGGTGTAAAGAATACATATGAGAAAAATCATGTTTAGCTCCAAAGCACTGAGAAAACTGTTTATAGGCAACATATTCAAGAGCAGAGAGAAAAAGATGTTTTGATGATGATTTTTCATCAGGCGCACCCAGTGGACATGTGTACACTGAAGAGCCAAATCTGAGTCTGTACTAAAACTGAGCAGGACTGGGAGAGCTGTGCTCAAAGAAAATGTCTGCTGCTATAATCCCCATCACAGATAGCTGTGCCCATACCCTTACTTTCATTTCTTATTTGTTCCACTCACTACTGTTTATAACCTGAAAGACATATAAATTTATTTCTCTTCAAAGCACATTTATTTGCCCTACAAATGGACCAAAAATACATAACGGCTACTTTGATTTTTATTATCTCACCTACATAAACATATTGATTCCCTTAACCCTACCAGGACAAAATAGTATTTTCTTTTTACTGCATTCCAGAGAAAGTTGTGCCTTAACTTGGATTTTATTTAACTGCTATTTATCTACATCTTTTGCTTCTGTCAGGAACCAAGCTACTACCTCTGTTTCTCTGCACCCTTAATACTTAGTCTGTAAAGCCCAGTACTGCTGACTCAAAGATCAACACTGTCACTGAGGATGAGAAAAAAAGCTTCCATATATAAAAAATAAGGTTGCTTCATGGACATATCGTCTTTTTAAAGAAGGTATAGATATGAATCAAAAAGGAGGTGTCAAGCATCATCCTTTAGTCAGAAAAAGTACAATCTTAATGTTTATTTTAAATCTCTTGTCAGAAAGGAAAGCATTAATATGAAATGCTTTACACAGCCTTTGACACTTACAGAACACTTGAAATGGCAATGAGTCAAAAATCAACAAGCCTTTAAGAATGAAAACAACTGGAAATGCTTTAGAAGCGGAGTCACTGAAGTATTTTCATTGATTAAGTGCCCATCGGTATTACATATACATTGAACACCAACACATATAGTTCGACATTTCCTGATCTGGTAATTTCATGGCTTAAAAAGAGGAAGGTAACACCTGTAAACTGTATTACCTGAAATTCAGTCTCACTGAGTCAATGATAATTTTGCCATCAAATGAATGTAGGTGTTCATTTTAAATATAGGAACTTAAATGAGAAACTTTTTTTTTAAAAAGGTTGATTTAGTGTAAAAATGAAATCTATTGCTTAAAACCCAACAACCTCATCCTAATTTCAGCTGTTGTACTCTTTTAATTCTTTATGTTGCTGCTGCTTAACTGAAATGGAAATGACCTAAAGGAGGTAAGTTAACAGAAATGGAATAATTTTAAGTCAGGCTTCAAAATTATTATTTTTTGCCCATCTGTCCTTTAGCATGTTGTCCATTCCAGGTCCCAGTCTCCCCTTGCCTTCCAGCCACTAGCAGGATAATACAGATGGTTACTGCAAAGCTGTTAAGACATACATCTGAATGCATATTTATCCACTTGGCAAGGTCCTGCTACAGCTGTAAGTCGATGCAAATCTGCATTACAATGTAGCTTCAGTCTCTTGCCTGTGTGAGAAAGCAGCCATGATATTAATTGTGCTGCTTAAGACAATGCTAGGCAAATATGACATAAATGAATGCAGTTGAGCTAGCTATTGCAGCACTGCTAATTTACACCTCTGAAAACAAACACTCATCTGGACACATGAAACAAGCTTCTATCTACACCTACATCAAAACTCATTTTCATTTGTTTGTTTTTGGAAGCAGAAACTGGTAAGGCAAGATAACTCCAGCAGATGTCATGGTGAAAGAGTCATGTAGGTGAGTATTTGATACAATCACCAGAAAAGAAAACCAAACTGAGGGTCTTTTTTCCATCGTAAGCACAGTTTTAATAAATACAGGTGGCACTGCCAGTCAGTGATAGTTGCTTTTGTTCTGGGTATGTCTTTGTTCTGGCAGCTGGGAGGAAAAGAAGTTTTCATGTATAATGAAAGAAATATACTTAATAGGCAACACCTGAAAATCCTTCAAGAGAACAAACTATGGCAATAGAAAATGCAAGTTTAGAAAGCTTTTCCTGAAAAAAAAGGTAGCACTGGAATCTTCTCTTTATCTCAGGTCAATTGACTTGTCACAGTGGGAAGGAGATTTGAAAAGGAAATTGCAAGTTCTTAGCAAGTATGATTGGAGGAATTGAGTTAATAGCCAGCAATCAGTATAGGTTCAGTAGGGTACTTAAAAATTTAAATGTATGCACACGCCACAACTACAGAAGGCCTGAGCTTTGTCTTGTTTGTAAAAAACAAGTGGAACAACAGGCAATTTAAATCTGAAACAAAAATGGTAATTTTTTACTTAGATTGCTGGGGTTTAAGTGTTCTTCCATTAAAAATTTCCCTCATTTCAGCATACGATTGAGGTATATAAATTGCATGTGCCTCTGATCTTGTTTTACGCTAGTAATCCTCCCAGGACCAACAGGATCCTCTATGGTATGTGCTTTCAGATGACACAGTTTCTCACCATATGGAAAGATGTTTTGTATCACCATGTTGTCAGCATATAAATGATTTTAGAACTCCATTTTTCATTGCCATTTCTTCAAGCTATTTAGGCTCAATAGCTTTTTGTTTCACATGTCAAAAATTAAAAGATGGATAGTTTTCTGGTTTGAGAAGCTGCTTTATCCATATTCTTGAATAATCACATATTCAACATGTATTCAACAAGCTACAGATACAAATGAGTATGACAACACTTCTAATGAGGAAACAGCTTAATTTGAGAGGGCAGGATAGGCCACCATCTCTCTAAAGAAATGTGACTATATCCCCAAACCTTCTTATCATTTCTAATACAACACACAACTTTTCTGCACAGATTCTTTTCAACAGAATTACAAAAGAAGGTGTCACCTACACTACTAGTAGTTCCGCTTTCCAACCAAAGAAGGCAGATATTATAGGTTGCAGAAATTTGTAAGTGGATAAAAGGGCAGAAAATTATAGGACACTGACCAATATAATGAATTTCATTTCCGCAAGCTTCTAATTCCTCCGAGGAAGGGAACAACATAGGTTTTGCATGGTCCTCTTTAACAAACAAATGCATACCCTGCAATGAAGTAGTATGAGACTAGAGGATGCATTCCAAGCTAAATGCAAACTAGCCTTGCCTCCGAGGCAAAGAAAGGACAGATTCTAGAAAGTACATACAGCATGGCTGGATGCCCGCATGCTAAAGAGACTAGTAAATCTAGATTAGTTGACTTTCACATTGTTTGAAAAACTTTTTCTACTTACTGTAATTCTCTCATCTTTGTCATCTAGCGGGGTCCCATCTTTTTTCCACGATATAGTGGGTTCCGGGTGACCTCTTGGGGGCTGACATTCCATCACTGCAGGTTCACCCACGGCTACCATTACATCTGATGGATTTTGTCTGAAGTCATCCCGTAGAACTGAAAGAATAAAGAAAATGAAGTAAAAATTACCCAACAATACACCAATAGTACAGCAAAGTGTTTTGTTTTGGCCTTTAATGGTCCCTGTTGTCATTGTACTTTACATTAATGAACAATTCAGTTAATGAATTTCATTTGGCGTCTGCGGATGGTGTCTGGTACTTCCACACAGTAATAGAGAAAACCCATGTACAACTTATATTTAACTTCCAACATACAAACCAAGTGACTTTAACACGGACAGAAGTGAAAGGCTGACACAGACATACGACTGTTCACACAGAAGAGCTGCCTCACTTGGTTGTATTTGGCCTAGCATCTGCCTAGCATGTGAGCACAGGATTCCTATCACAGCTGAAGAAGGCACACTGTCTTCTGCTCAGGTAGCATGTCACCTGGGGAGAGGCACGGCAGAGATTGCTTTCTGCCCCTCTTTTTCTGAGACAAATGGTCAGCCTGCCAATAACTCAAGGTTTTTGGTTAAAGATTGGCCACTGGCTGTATGAATTGCACCTATCACTGAATTTATGGCAAAGATGAACAAACTAGCTAAACCTCCCAGTTCCTTACTGACATTGTAAGACACAAAACACTTGTCAGCCTTAGCCAAACTCATCTTTGCAATTTGGCTTGTGTCTTTTTCAAGGAGGGAAAAAAAAAATCCTGATCTCTGGGAGTCATCCCTTAGCCTGAGCCAGGACTACATCCTTTATTTGGAAGAAGTCAATTTTACTACCTTTTCACAGAAGGAAACATTTTTGTTGTGGCTTCATTACTGTAATTTGTTCTTTCTTATCATTTGGCCAAGCCCAGGCCTAGGAAACTTTAGTTCCCTGCAGTGACCCACTATGAATTTTATCAATGGCTGTGTGATTATTTTTCTTTCTGGGAGAGGAGAGACATCATACTGTGCTCAGCAGACCACTACACAGGGACACAGTTAACAGAATAATGGCATTCCTAAGTCTTGTCAAGTAAGTGGCATCAGGTTTAATCTGAAAATAAGTAACTCAAATGATAACAAATATAACATTGTAGTCCTCTCCACTGCTGTTACACCATCCACACTGAACAAAGGATATGGTAATGGAAAAGTACATTACAACCAAGAGATTCTTAGGATTGTGACAAAACCATCTGTCACTCTTGCTACCTGCAACAATCTTGTGTCAACAGTAAATAGTGCCAAGAATCTGCAGCAAAAAATATATTCCCCAAGCCATGGAACACAGATGTATGGACATTCACTACTGAATAATGGTTTGGTTGTTAATGCTGCTTCAAAGCAAGGTATGATTTACTGTTAGACATTAAGGAATGTGGGTGTGCTTACAGATTGGCAGGTACAGCACTGCCACCAAACCATTCCTCTCTGTAAGGTCTTTCATGCTGTTAAGACCTTTTAAAATGGTCTGAGGGCAAATGGGTCATCTACTCTGGGAAAGAGGGTTATACCTTTCCCACACCTACTTTCTGCAATGCTGTATAATCTAAAATGAAGGGAGGAAGCAAAAATGACTTGCAGTTCTTTGTTTTGGAGGATTACTGCCAAATAGCCGTATCAATAATCAATAGGACTATTTTCTATTTTTTCTTCTCAAGTACATCTACCTTCCATCTACCTACCATTCATTGGCTACAATCACAGGCCTACGTGTCCAGCTTGGCTCATTATAACATAATACACAACAGGGAAAGTTCCAGATTCATACAGTAGTGTAGACGGGAATCAAAAGCAATAAATATAGAATATTTTACCACTATTCTTGAAACAGGATATAATTTCTGGAAGTACTAAAGAACATTTGTGTACCAACAAGACTGAAGTATATTGCAGACCTCACCAGACATCATCTGAATTTACCAATCCCTTTCCAAACTGAAGCACTAACGTTCCAACTATTTCAGTTCAATTACTGAGGTTTCTGGATGCCCTGGAGTCAGGAGATACTGATGCACTGAAAGAGGACATTCAAGGATAAAATGTCTCCATCCCTTTAACAATACAAACTAATACAACAGAATGATAGGACTTAATAAAGAAATTAGAGAATAATTTAGGTTGGAAGGGACCTCAGGAGGTCATCTAGGCTACAAGAATGAGATGCTGTTGGATGAACATAGTCCCTTGGGTGAACTAGGTCTCTCGAACAGACTTAGTCTAGAAAGTTTTTTTTTTTAAAAAAATGCATGCTTATTGCTTGGTGTACAAAAACCTGAGAAAACATGCTCTATCTAAGAACAAAGAATTTCTCTCTCTACAAAGCAAATGGACTAGGAAAAAATGACAATGTTTTCAGCTATAAAATTAATCCATGTTACATCTAGAGGAAATAGTATGTTTTCAGAAAGAGGAATGATGTCATTTGTTGTTATTCAAAAAGGTAAGTCAAAAGACCAACCCTTTACCTTCCCTTCTGCTTTCAACAAAACTTCATTAAGTTTAACCTGCATTCTCTTACAGCTTCCTTACTACAGTCCCCTAAATGATGATGCACCAAAATTGGATACATCAAATTATTTTCATTATGGGAGTATTAATATACTACTCACATACACCGAAAACCTTATAGATACTTACTCTGTTTATACTGAATATGGCATTAATAACCAGATACAACTTCTTGTGTTCTCAAGTAGCCCTCAAGCCATCCAGAAACAGTAAATCATGTAGTGTAACTGGCTGGGCTGACACTGCTTCTGCTAAGTCAAAGGATTTTTTCTATTTACTTTAATAGAGACTTGATCTGGCTTGGAGCCACTGGTCATATTATTACTTCTTTTTTTCATTTCTCCAAACTAAAAAACATCAAAGAAGAAGAAAGAGAAGTTGCACTAAGCTACTCAAAAAACTCCACATGTCCAGTTCCCAGTGCCAACAGCACATGAAAGTGCAGAAGAGTTTATTTGCTACACCACAGTTCTATTGCAACACAATAAAAGGGGTGTTTTGACCATAAGTAAGAAGCCTCTTATTACTGCTGAAGATTGTATCACTTGGATAAAGCTAAGAGATATATAAAAAGAAGTGCCCTTAAGTTTAAAAAAAAAAAAAAAAATCAAGTGAAGTGATCTTAATAAACCATAAGTGTTTTTCAAGTCTGAAAGAGCTTGTAAATCTAAGAGGAACGTATCAGATAGCACCTCAGATGGCTTTTAGCACCTTTGAAGCAGCAAAGTTGTCCAGTACTTGCATAATAAAAACAAATTACTTCAGTAATTTCTAAACTCCTTAGTCTCAGATCAGCTTTACAAGAATAGTACCTTGTCTGTAAAGTAAGACCTTTCACAAATTAACCAATGTGTAACAGAATGCTTTAGGAAGACATCAAAGGTCCAGGCCATAGATACATCAAAACAAGTTGTTTGTTTTTTTTTTTTTTTACTATGAGTTATTTTGGCTCTAACATTACATAATGAAATGCTAACAAAATGTAATCTATTAGAGATTACCCCACAGATAGTAGTCATGTAATTATTTTTGCAGCTGTAAAGTAGATGCATGCTCTGATTTTTTTGCCTCAGGCCCTGGCAATCTTGCATAAAGTTATAAATTTAAAATTTTCTTCCGTTATGGAAAAAAAATCATTTTTTCTTTTCTGTCCTTCCTAGTCGAGGCTCACTGTAAATTGAGAATACATTTCCTTTTGAAGATATATTAGAAGTATACTTTGTAATCCAGTACAGCATGTGCTTTCAGTCACCAAAGGGTCAAATTTCACCACATGCACTTCTTTCTATATATATGCAGCTGGAATGAAAATAGATAAATTAAAAGTATTCTTGCCTTTTTTTTCTTTTTTTTAATGAATTCAGTGTAGAATCTTCATAGATATAAAAAATCCACTATATTTCTGACATACTGTGCATAAGGTTTTCTACCATTTTAAGCTAACATTTTCTAAAATACAATGAATAATGATCGTAATTATTGTTGTTGCACAGCCAGGACAACTCCATGATCTTGCTGCGTGAACTCTTAACTCCCATGTTTGTGCTGAAAGCATTTTTATGCTATGCTTGCTGAACTAATCAGGTTCAAGAGCAACTTTTGTAACTCCACTTTAAAAGTCAACTACTCATACAACTATTTAAAATTGTGTACTATTCAATCAATAAAGCAGTTACACTTTCCCCAGAGAATCTTTTCCAGAGCAGAAAGGAATTAGCAATCACTTGAGGATAAATTTGTTGTTGACAAGCAACATAAGTAGAGACAGTATTTTTTGTGTAGAACCCTAAACAGTGCTTTTGAAAATGCAGCATCCGGTATTTTTTTTTCTTACGTTCTTCACTGGCTACTATGAAAAAGAGTAGGGAGTCACTACTGGGTGAAATGGAAGGTAGGTAAGCAGGGGGGTTTTGCATATACATGCTGCAGATATTTAAGAAAGATTATTTTTAGAGTTTGTCATTAAATATCTGTGATCTCCTTCAAAGACAATAAAGAAAACCAAAGCAAAACACAAGAAAAAAGAAACCAACCAGAAAGCTTTAGTCAGTAAGTGAAAAGAATGAATTTGTAAGGAACACACTAATTACCATCATACATTGTGGATATCATGCCTTAACAGGTGGTATGATTTAAGAACTGGAAATAAGAAAATCTCTTGGAAATTTTGATTACAGGTCTATTCTAGTCAGACTGGCTAGACACTTCATGCTAGATCAGTCCAAAGCAGTGCACCAAAATATATCCAGGATCTCTAATCAACCAAGATATTATAGCCATGGTCACCTGGTGAGCAGACGAAGAAAAGGAAATGACGAAGTTGCAGGTGCAGTTTCATAATCAGATTAAGGCAAGCTTAATCCATGTCAATTCTTCTAAAAGAGATCATCCAGACTTGCTTCCTGCTAACTCTCCGGCATTGTCCGGGACAAAGCACACTATTTTGCAAGGCTGGTTGTTAGAGGGAGATCGGTGAGCCAAAGTGTCACACAGTTAGACAACCAAAGAGATCACAACAATTTCCACTCTTTCAGCATGAAGATAA